TGCTACATGTCCTTATCCTCGTGTGTGCTACATGTCCTTATCCTCTCGTGTGCTTATCCTCATGTCATTATCCTCGAGTGTGCTCCATGTCATTATCCTCGAGTGTGCTACATGTCCTTATCCTCGTGTATGCTTCATGTCATTATCCTCGTGTGTGTCACATGTCCTTAACCTCGTGTGTGTTACATGTCCTTATCATCGTGTGTGCCATATGTCCTTCTTTTACTCGAGTGTGCTACATGTCCTTATCCTCGTGTGTCCTACATATGTCCTTATCCTCGTGTGTCCTACATATGTCCTTATCCTCGTGTGTGTTACATATGTCCTTATCCTGGCGTGTGCTACATGTCCTTCTTGTTCTCCTGTATGCTATGCGATATTTTTGTCCTCGTGTGTGTTACGTCATATACATTTATTTATTCCTACACGTTTCCTTGTGTATAATACACGTTCTATAGTAAGAAACTATGTTCCAGATTCAAATACACAGTCACACTGACGAGAGTGTCATGACTCTCTTTAGTGTCAGTGTCGATTTCACCGCCTGTTTAATGCAGCATAATCTGAACTTATTGAATTAGCAGAATGGCATGTTAAGATGTGTTTTGTCTCCCTGTCAGATTGTGGTGTTCAAAGAGTATTGAGTTTCACAAACCCGTCTGTGGCTAACGAATTAACACGTTCCGCTGAGCGGTGAAATGTGTCCAGTGTCCAAACGAGCAGAGAATGCCTGACCAGACTGCTTAGTCCAAAAGGATAATACATAGGTGGGGAAGGTTAGTCCCATATTGATTTTGCATCCTTGAATGATATCAGCTTTAACGTGTTTATTACGCTATATCCCCTAGCATACGTTATATCCCCTTCATCGAAACATGTGACGTCATTGTGACGCGACATTTGCTAGAGGTGCAATATTTCATTTTCCACCGCCCGCTGTCTACGGATTTTCCTGATATAGAAACAGGTGCAGAGGAGAGTCAGTTGTTCATCACATAACATGGGATTAAATCAAAATAGGTATTTGAGACAGACAGACAGACAGATAAGTAGATGTGTGCGTGTTACACAGGGCAGAGCCACAGAATTTCAAAAGGGGCACCCCTATTCCAGAGACCAGGGTTCAAGTATTAATTTATCCATGCATATGATTCTTAAAGGTTCAAAGAGCACAGTTATTTCACTTAACTTCCGGTATCCCCGTTGTGATGTTGCAGGAATATTGCTAAAAGAGACATTCAGTTAACTTCAACATATGATATAAACCATTTTACTATATACAAATAAGTTTTCACATCAATTATTCTATTTTTGCACAGAAATCACTGAACACACTGAAAGAGTTCAGTCTCATATTCTTCTATTCTCTCTGGACAGGAATTTTGCAAAAACATTGTCAAAACGGCAGGGTGCCTTAGAAATAGGGAAGGGCGCCCTGCAAAACAATGCCTTCGGGAAACACTAGTGTATGTCATAATAATATTGAGTAAATTTATAAAGCGCTAAAACCTCCAGGCACTAACTGCCTGCTCAAATCGTTATGATGAGTATATACATGTACACAGTATTAAAAACGAGGAAGAACAAAGAAATCTAGCATGTGCGTGCGTGCATGTGTGTGCGGAGAAAAAAATTAATCCAAGGCTTCCGTATTTTTTCTGTGCTTCACATCTTCTGCCCACCCTCACTTTTCGGAAATAATAAAATTCCCACGCCCCTGTGGACAATACGCACGATTTTGATTATAAAACTACTCTTAACCTTGTACGTACATAAGAAGACCCAAATCAGCTTGATCTTTCTTTATCTATATTTATTTTTTTATAACAGTGAAAAAGAACGGGAACATACGATACAAGTCAAACTAGGTAATTTAGGTCAATTTTTGTCAATGACGCGTCAAATTTGGCAATGTACTCCATTCATCCCCCTGTAAACGTTTAAAAAGCATTGCAGAGGCTTGAATAGTGTAATCGTGGTCAAAGATCTTGTACCCCAACTTTAGTAATATGTAGACACGATAAACATTAGTTGCCTTTTGAAAAGTTGAAGATATACCCTTTGTCATACAGTTTAGGGAGAGTTTGTTTTTGTCACTCTTAATGTTTATGCACTTATCTATTTTAAGCTTGGTGGTTAATCAGTGGAAGCGGATTGGCTATCTGCCCGTTATTAAACGTTATGAGAGCATCATCCTTGCAACTGTCTTCGCGTAATTAGAAGTAAAGACACTGATATGGGCGTGCTTTAAGAAACAAAGAATACAGGTATCATTCACTGTACCTCTTATTTACTTGATAATATATACCATTGTTCAGACGGGCCATCAGTAGATCCAGGGATCCTCTTGAAGACCATAAAAACGTAAAAAGAACATTAATTATTCGACGTAATAAACTGGGCAAGCAAGCAATGAATCAATTGCAGTATCATTTCCAGACGGTCATCTCAAAGTCCTTTGATCTTAGACATGAAAGAGATGTCCAAAACAAGAAAATAGACATTCCATGATCCATTAATTAAGGGATGTAATGGCTGAATTAGATAACTGATCACCAAAGAATAACAGAGTGACTTATGTCTCCTTGACCCATGAAATATGAGAGGAAGTTCAGACAAATAAGAATGGTCGTGATTTCCATGACCATGTAATACAAGAAGGAAGGTGAAAATCTCAGAATATACATCTGGACCTTGCAATACAAGAGGCAGAGTTAAGGTCAGCGATAGGAGAAAAACGTCTTTCCTTCTAGAAATATGAGACCAAACGTTAAGGTAAAGGGCAGACAAAAGGGGTTTCTTCGAAGCCGTGCAATACGAGAACAAGAGAACAAACAGCCTCCATTATCAGAATTCATTGGGCACAACAAGCAAAATTTGCGGCATCACAAAATATAGGAATGGATCGGAAATCAGTGGTACCACCAGATGTTCAGGGTAAACATGTCTGATTAAGTTGGTGAAAGTAAGTAATGTTCACAACATCGGCATCTAGATACGTAACCGCATATCATATACTCAGTTATACGTTTTGTTTCCACACCAAGGCCATTCGTCCTTGACGATGTAAATGTAATTAATTCGTTAGGTTTAAACGACCCCTGAAAATAGATGATGTAACAGTAGAACCAGGGTCGAGAGTGCTACCAGTCATCACATTATCTACTGGAATCACGTCTCGAACATCAGCTATTGGACATTTGTGAGTTTATTACGTGGGCAATTTCCTTAACAGAAGCAGTTACTGAACAGTCCGCCAGAAAGGCACACAGAGGTAGTGGACTGGTGCAGTTAGTACGATAAACAGTTAGATACGATTTCAGTTTATCTGGTTAAGTCTTGACCTTGTTCTCAGTGACGAGAACCACAGAACTTAAAAAAGAAGATAAACGTGTAAGGTAGTGGGGGCGCTGTGACGATAGTTAGTGATCTCGCTTTAGATGCAGTATGCACGGCGTTACTCCCCGTAGCACATGTTGTGTAGAATATGTAGAAGCCCTTCCTTTCTGTCCTGCTTGGAGGGCGATAATCATGCCAATACTGGAAGAGAATGGTCCTCGAGGACCAACACATGCGACACCGAAGTTACGGATTTATGTGTACTTACCTTGGAACACTGGCCGCCGATTCATATCTGCCATAGTATCAAATAACATTCTTATAGAGCCAGTTGCAATTTGAAACAATGTTTTCCAATCCTGGGACAGAGATAAAGGAATCACTGACAAATATAAATTACCTAGTTTCCAAACCATTTACATTTGTGTATACCAGGTATTTCAGTGTAATCTGTCTTTTTAAGGACAAAAACGATTTCCTATTTTCCACGTTGTCGTTGCGTTCGTAAAAGAAAGCAGCGGACCTGACATGAATGTTGCTGTAGAATGTCGTAGCTGATATAGCGATAATGGCACGTGTAATATTATATATAGGTACGTTGCCGCACAGAACAAAAAAGGTCTGGGAGAGTCAATTAATGACGATCGAGTGGGAAATATTGATATAAGTGTATATCTTTTATAGGAGGCGACGGAGTAGCCTAGTGGTTAAAATGTTCGCTCGTCACGCCGAAAACCCGGGTTCTATCCTCCATGGGTAAGATATGTTAAACCAAATTCTGATGTTCCCCGTCGTGATATTGCTGGAATATTGCTAAAAGCTGCATAAAACCATTCTCACTCACTCTTTTATAGGGGGTCAGTCATATAGCTGGTTTATTGCTGGTTTATTGCTGCATGTAACTAGAACCCATTTCCATACTGGTTAGAAAATCTCAAATTCAAAATTCCGAATGTATTACATGCATGCATAATGAATCAGTCATGAACGCATGCAAAAGCAAACACTCCATTTCATTGCTGAATTGAAAGTAATGCAGTAATTGGGACACCACAAAAGTGAACAATAGCACCCATCTGGCAGTCAAACAATAAACCCTGTCCACTGCTCGTCACATGTCCGGATGTATGGAGATACGAAAATCTAGGTACTAATGAGCCCGACGACCTAATTTTAGTCTGGTTTGATATTAAGATCACATTCTAAGTTTTATACTTCCGGATTTTAGTACTTGCTGATCTGTCTATACACAGTCCTAAACGAGCAGATATATAGTTCCTATTCTTTAATGGCAGAGCTATTAATGTTCCTTATACCTGGCGGTGCTTTGGCCTGCTCTCAACAAATACTGCTAAACCGCTTCAGAGCGATCCTTCGGAAATTGGCGTTTCATTTGTAGATTTCCCCCGTGTGGAATTGTTACTCCAGAATGGCAGAAAAAAACTATGTGTGTTTTAATCGGACAATAGTTGACTCAAAATCAACTGGGATAAAGATGTGGTTTTGCCCAGAATCTCATTAATCCTTTCGTGCTGTGCAGAAAATGGGCGGTGTTATTTGAGACTGTTCGCCATTCATTACAAGACATTTTGCATGCATTTAATCTTTCAGAAAATGGCACCAACTGTGACCTAATTCGGAGGTTTTTTGTTATGGTGTAAATGAGATTTAATTATGTCCCATACAAGCTGTATAGTAAGTCGGTGAAAACTGATGGGAAGACTGATGGGGACATGCAGTATCGGGAGTCAGGGAAGACTGATGGGGACAGGCAGCATCGGGAGTCAGGGAAGATAGATAAGGACAGGGAGTATCGGGAGTCAGGGAAGACAGATGGGGACACGCAGTGTCGTGAATCAGGGAAGACAGATGGGGACAAGCAGTGTCGGGAGTCAGGGAAGGCAGTTCGGGATATGCAGTGTCGGGAGTTGGTGGAAGACAGATGGGGACAGGCAGTATCGGGAGTTGGTGGAAGACTGATAGGGACAGGCTGTGTCGGGAGTCAGGGAAGACAGATGGGGACATGCAGTATCGGGAGTCAGGGAAGACAGATGGGGACAGGCAGTATCGGGAGTCAGGGAAGACAGATGGGGACACGCAGTGTCGGGAATCAGGGAAGACAGATGGGAACAAGCAGTGTCGGGAGTCAGGGAAGACAGATGGGGATATGCAGTGTCGGGAGTTGGTGGAAGACAGATGGGGACAAGCAGTGTCGGGAGTCAGGGAAGACAGATGGGGACACGCAGTGTCGGGAATCAGGGAAGACAGATGGGGACATGCAGTATCGGGAGTCAGGGAAGACAGATGGGGACAAGCAGTATCGGGAGTCAGGGAAGACAGATGGGGATATGCAGTATCGGGAGTCAGGGAAGACAGATGGGGACAGGCAGTATCGGGAGTCAGGGAAGACAGATGGGGACACGCAGTGTCGGGAATCAGGGAAGACAGATGGGAACAAGCAGTGTCGGGAGTCAGGGAAGACAGATGGGGATATGCAGTGTCGGGAGTTGGTGGAAGACAGATGGGGACAAGCAGTGTCGGGAGTCAGGGAAGACAGATGGGGACACGCAGTGTCGGGAATCAGGGAAGACAGATGGGGACATGCAGTATCGGGAGTCAGGGAAGACAGATGGGGACAAGCAGTATCGGGAGTCAGGGAAGACAGATGGGGATATGCAGTATCGGGAGTCAGGGAAGACAGATGGGGACAGGCAGTATCAGGAGTCACGGGGAGACAGATGGGGATATGCAGTATCGGGAGTCAGGGAAGGCAGATGGGGAAATGCAGTATCGGGAGTCAGGGAAGACAGATGGGGATATGCAGTATCGGGAGTCAGGGAAGGCAGATGGGGATATGCAGTATCAGGAGTCAGGGAAGACAGATGGGGATATGCAGTATCGGGAGTCAGGGAAGACAGATGGGGACAAGCAGTATCGGGAGTCAGGGGAGACAGATGGGGACAAGCATTTTCGGGAGTCAGGGAAGACAGATGGGGATATGCAGTATCGGGAGTCAGGGAAGGCAGATGGGGACAGGCAGTATCGGGAGTCAGGGAAGACAGATGGGGACAGGCAGTATCGGGAGTCAGGGAAGGCAGATGGGGACAGGCAGTATCGGGAGTCAGGGAAGACAGATGGGGACATGCAGTGTCGGGTGTCAGCAAAGACAGATGTGAACAAGCTTTATGGCATTCGTTACCATCCTTCATATCACATTTAAATTCATTGCTGATGTTGCATAAACTAGTCGTCATGGTTACTCCGCAAACCTATTCCATGAAAACATTCGCCTGAGGAGAGTATCCTTACAGTGTGCTATGTATCCATGACTCAATCACATTAAAGTAGAACATTGCCCATTGTCTCCTTGTATGATTCTCTTTTGTGTGATTAATGCAAACTGGTTTGTCCTTGTGAGAACGTTATCTAACAATGCTGGAATTATGGTGATAAATTATATATTAACAGTTGTTCCCATGAGCCTTGAATGCACGGCAGAATGAAATGTATCGCACCGTCTGCATATACTTGGTAATGACATTGTATGGAATCTGTGTGGGATGTACTAGGTTTCTCAGTGTTAAGTCAGAATTGAAATTACTTAATTTTCCTCAATGTCTGCAGCTCGGAAACTATTCGACATAATTACTACACCTCTACAAAGTTGTGCAAGAGGGCTTATTTTCAACGTAAATTGCAATCAGTGTCTAGCAAGATAATTATACAATCAGCCCCGCAAACATGGCGTCTACATGTCTTAGCTGGGTATGCACTTTAAAGCATTCTTTTTAACATTTTATCCTCTAACGCTGGAAGACATAAAGTTTACCTTACTCCAAGACTTTGGGTTTTTTAAACAAGGTTTCACCTTCAATTCCAGAAGGATTCCGAAAGGCACCCAGGGGAATGTACTAAATATTTCACGTTGCTCATCAAAATAGTATGTGTTGCTATTCGATGCTATTACTTGTATGATGAATGTTCACACCCAGGTACGATATCAGTAGAAACTGTCAATAGCCCGTGCTTACCCCTTTCGCGAACATCTGGTGTGATCGCTGATTTCTAGTAACACAGTCATACAATTGTCTTCACCAGTTTGCCTTTTGAATCGGTTTCTTTAGATACTCTTGACCGATTGTTCTCTATTTTTGAGGTTTTGATAAACAAATTGATGAACTCAATTAATAAATGTACGTTGACCACTATATGAATAGAGTTAATAGAGCTGATAACTGTAATACTATACATTCCCATGTCTCCATACACATAGCTGGAAATAAATGCGTTTTTCCCCATCGTTTACTTAGATTGAAGCGAATAGATTTGGACAGCCTTTGCCAACAATAAAGTTGGTCCTTTGCTCAATAACAATATTCCCTTGTGACAGTCAGCTGAAGGAGGCACCAATACAGTATTTCCCAATTAATGTATAGCGCTCAGGCAATGGTTCTTCCTGGTGATCAGATGAAATTGCAATATATTTTAGTGCAAATCAAATTACCCTCACGTATCTATCTACCGATACATACATCTTTGAACGACATTTAGAAGGGGAAGAGAATATATGGATGTTGAACTGTTGGATTACAGATGCTCCGACCTTTCTCGTCTTATTACCTTTTGTTGTTCATAAGCTCTCTACACCATAGTTTTCATTTATATGGTGAAGGAGTTAGTACATACTCCGAAACCTTGTATTCCTTAGAATAAATATTTTAACATCCATAAGTTCTCTCCGTTGTGATAAAGATAACAATTTGTAATAAACTATTTCCTTACATTATAAGTCTTCAACATTTATTTTGTTTCAGACAGTTGCAGGATTCAGAATTGACTAAGGTCAGTAGGGACCCGCATAAAGAACATCAGTGTCATACTATTTTTTACTATCAAATATTCATGTGCTGTATGCTCAGGCTGTTGATCACTGAATTGTCTGGTCCAGACTCGATTATTTACAGACCGCCTTCATATAGCTGGAATATTGCTGAGTGCGGCGTTAAACAACAAACCAAACGAAACCAAACCTTGGGTATAAGTGCAACATCAGTACCTATTGCTATTATGGCAATGTGTTTTCTGAAAGCCCTCAAACAAACTGATATGAATAGATTGATGATTTGATATTGGCAATTATGTGACACTAAATAGGGCTCAAAATATATATAGACGAATTTTTGTTTGTTTATTCGTTGTTGTTTTGGGGGTTTGTTTTTTTGTTGTATTTTGTGTTTTGTGTATTTCATTTTTTCTTTTGGGGCACTATTAATAACAATTGCTCACTAAACGTCAGTTTAATCAGTCGTTCCGTGTGGGTGTGGGGTGTTGGGTGGGGCCTAGTGGTTAAAGCGTTCGCCCGATACGCCGGCGAGTTCGATTCCCTACATGGGTACAATTTGTGAAGCCCATTTCTGGTGTCCCCCACCGTGATATTAATGGAATATTGATAACAGTGGTGTAGAAACTGGACTCACTCACTCACTCACTCATAAATGGCTAAACAGCTGTGACGAGTATATGAGAGTGCCACTCAAAATCAGTGATGACACCAGGTGTTGGCGAAAAGGTTGAACATGAGGTAGCACCGGTTATTCAGAAAATATGCATAAAAAGATATTGCACAAAATGCCATGGCTTCCTATAAACAAACCAGACAATCAGTAAATCGACTGGCAAGATAGTACGTTTACTGATTTTGTTCAAACTAATAAAAACAATATTGGTCTGCGCAGACATTCAGCTAATTTGGATAAAGAAAACGAAAAATAAACACGGTGTCACTGACAAGACCCCATAACCAGGTGGCGCTTACAATCCAACCACCGGGATTTCCTATATACACTCAAACAGTTGTTGATCTTGACTTCACGACGTGACGCAAATCGGTATCATTAAGTGCACTCACTGATCTATGTCTACGTGACCGGTCATATTGACGCCTATATATCAATATCCAAGTTGGAAGAATTCGATAATATCTAGACATTATTAACGACCACGAGTGCGGACATATAAAAGTCCTTAATTGAATCCAACCTTTCTGAGTGAAGGACTGCGGGATAAACCGCTGGTGTCATTAAAAGTGGAATTATATTAAATGTAATGTCTGTAAATATACTGTCTGGTAATTTAGACGTTTAAACAACACCTTCAAAATATCTTCTCATGTGTCTGCGTGTTGGGGAGTTGAAACATGTGGGCAACGCAGTATTATTAAGACTTTTACTTCAGTAATGAGTGAGGGAGTTTAATTTTACGCCACACTCTGCAATATTCCAGCTATAATGGAGTCTGGGCCAGACAATACAGTGATCAACATCATGAGCATCGATCTACACAACAGGGATACGATGGCCAAGTCAGCGAGCCTGAGTTACTGAAGATCAATTCTCACCCGGATCTTCACGGGTACTGCCGCAATGAACCGCGTCATGGACCTGACATGAGGCACGAGAATGCCCTCCAACTTTGTAGGTCACGTTTCTTAATGTTAGATGTTTGGCAAGATTGGCCTCATGTCCGTCAAATGTATGTGTATAAAGCCATATCGATCTCTATGATACGTTGTTAAACTATGTTCTGGATTACGTTTTCGATTACGTTGCAAATCTGTCCCATAACAGTTTCGACATTAACTCGTTCAAGGAGACGTAAGGATTCCATGTATACATGCTGTGGAATGTTCACATGATTTGAAATGTCATAGAATGTTACATCAAGAACGTTCTTAAAGTTCAAGAAAAATACAAATCATCTTTGATCTCATAGGAACCTGAATTGGGGTGAAAACGCAGTTTTCGGTCGATATGAGCATTGTCTTCAGATTCCAAAGGCAATCATGTAAAAGATAGTGTATTTTGTATTTTGCATTTTGAGACCAGGATCAACTTATCGAATGTCAGGGAATCAATGATTTCGTAAATATGAAGAAATTATATACTTTTTACAAATAATAACTTTGTGTGAATCGGTTTGATTTATCAATAAGAATAATAAATGTGAATTAATTAATATGACCAGTCACTGCAATTGCGAATGTGATGGAATCAAGATAAAAAGTGCGTGCCTTTGAGTCGCTTGAAGGTTAATAGTCACATGACTTATCCCACCGGGTACTCATTTGTGCTGGGATGTCCATTTAAACGAATAAATGACATTGATGGAATGTGAGGGAATCAATATAATAAGTGAATGTGAAATAATAAAATTATTTTGTTTGTTTGTTTGTTTGTGTAACGATGCGCTCAGCAGTGTTCCAGCTATCTGTAAATATCTGTAACGTCAATTGAGTATGGACCAGTCAATCCAGTGATTGACGTCATGAGCATCGATCTTCGCGTTCGGGATACGATGATATGTGCCAGTCAAATCAACGCGCCTAACCACCCGATCCCGTTAGTTGCCTCTTACGACACGCGTGGAATGTTGAAGACCAGTTCTTCACGGGTCCGTCAATATTATAAAGTGAAAATGAACTAATCAAATGTCAATGTCAATGTGAAAGAATCAATATATTAATTGAACGAGAGGAAATCAATATAATCAGTGTGAGGGAATCAACTTCAGCGATGATTTTGAAGGAATCAATATGATCATTTAATGTATGGGAATCTATGTGATCAGTCAGTCGGTGTGAATCATCGAAATTAGTGAATATTATCGACATTATTCACCGGCATTACTTTTGAATCAACAGATTTATTACCTGCATTGTCCTTGAGACATACCACTGAGAAATTGTAAACTGTAATGCTTTTCCATCAATACACCTGACAGATATTGCAATGCTTTATTCATACTTTATTCAAATAATGATTAAGCTGTCTTGTCCGACGTGGAACTGATACTTGGCATGACGTCAGTGGGTATGTTTGGAATAATCTATTACCCTCACTCTGTGTGTACCATCACTATGAGTCATGCAATGTGGCCAATGCAGCTATATATATAAGGACCGCCTCCGTGGTGCAGTGGTTAGAGCGTCCGCCTGGAGAGCGGAAGGTCGCGGGTTCGATCCCCGGTCGCGTCATACCAAAAGGACATTAAAATATGGCACTCGTTGGTCTCTGGCGCTCAGCATTAATGGGTACAACAAGGACTGGTCGGCTCGGAGTCGGTATAATGTGTCTGAGTGGGGTATTCATGGTAAACTGGGGCATGGTTTCTCAGTTGGCTAGCACTATAAAACCAGTTTAAGTCTGAACTAGTACATGCAGC